GTTGTTTGTGGTTCAGGAGTGGCTTAACAAGAGGAATACGACAACTGTAGCCAAATTCCTTGACACGTTCTGTGTGTGGTGGCTCTTGATGCCTTGACCCCAGCCTCAGTCCATTCCTTGTGAAGTTCACTCAAATTCTTGAATTGATTTTGCTTGACAATCCTCATAAGGCTGTGGTTCTCTCGGTTGGTTGTGCATCTTTTTCTTTCACACTTTTTCCTTCCACTCAACTTTCATTTAACATGCTTGGATACAGCACTCTGTGAACAGCCCGCTTCTTTGGCAATGAATGTTTGTGGCTTACCCTCCTTGTGAAGGGTGTCAATGATTGTCTTCTGGACAACTGTCAGATCAGCAGTCTTCCCCATGATTGTGTAGCCTAGTGAACCAAACTGAGAGACCATTTTGAAGGCTCAGGAAACCTTTGCAGGTGTTTTGAGTTGATTAGCTGATTGGCATGTCACCATATTCTAATTTGTTGAGATAGTGAATTGGTGGGTTTTTGTTAAATGTGAGCCAAAAATCATCACAATTAAAAGAACCAAAGACTTAAACTACTTCAGTCTGTGTGCACTGAATTTATTTAATGCATGAGTTTCACAATTTGAGTTTCACAAACTTTTCCACAACATTCTAATTTATTGAGATGCACCTGTAATGAAGGCAGATTTGAACTGAATTGTTGAAATGTGCCCTCCATTTATTTTTTTTGCTGTTTCCTTAATTGTTTTGTGTTTCCTAATTTCAAAATATTTATATTTTGATGAAAAGCCTATAATAAACTCCTTGGTTCCCAGAGTGACAACTTACCCCATAAGCTATTGCTATTGGGGCATGTTGTCATAAAAGCTCAATGTGTGTCTCATTTTTTGGGACTTTTTTCATTTTTTACCAAAATATACTGTGTATATATATAGAAAGTGAAATATGACCTGGTGAAGTGTGAAATAAGACATGGATGTGACAGGATTTGTGAAATAAACAGTGTGCTTCTATGCACTTTTCAAATAGCATTTTAAAACAGAAAATGTATTCATTTCAATATTTTTTGACCATTTATTGTTTTACTGTTTATACTTTGATTAAAAAAAAGCTTATAATAGGCTGTTCGGTTCCCAATGTGACAACTTACCCCATTAGCTATTACTATCGGGGCATGTTGTCACAAAAGGTAAAGCATGTCTGTGAGATAAACCGTATATATATACAGAATATAGAATAGACAAAACACAAATTGAACTCATGCATGTGGCAACATGCAACACACAAAAAATATTTTATGCATGTGGCATGGAATAATTTTTCTAGGTTGTAAATAAAACAAAGATGATTGGAGTATGTTTTACAAAAAATACTAAATCAGTTTTTCTTCCTCAGAATGTCATGTTTAATTCAGAGTGTTTTTTGTCATTTTTTGCGAAAGATACTAGCAATTTCTAAGTGAAATTTGTTTTAAAGTAAGCCCTCTTCAGTGTAGTTTGAGATTATATCCTTGTTTATCCTCTGTGGGAATTTGCAAACAAATGAGAGCCGTGCAGGTGTAGACTTACATCCCACACTGACCAATCACTGTAGAGATCTGAACGCACTGAGTCTATATATAGCTGCTCCCAAACCCCCCTCACACTACCTGCCGCAGGTAAAACAACAGACCGCGTCTCGCACGCTCAAAGGCACTTCTAATCCTCACCATGTCGTTCAAGAGCCCTTCCAGGAGTTTCTCCAGCTCAAGTCTGTCTGGTAGCATGGGGTCAAGGGGCAGTTGGTTTGGGGCCATTTCCCCAGCCACTATAGGGAATCTGGCAAACACACTGCGTCCGATTGTGCAGATCAACAGCAGCACTTTTGCCCCGGCTGATGATAAAGAGACCATGAAGGGTCTGAATGACCGTCTGGCGGGGTATCTGTCAAAAGTGCAACTCCTGGAGGACTCCAACAATGAACTGGAGGAGCAAATCAAAGAAGCTCTGATGAGGAAAGGAGCTGAGAGCGGCAGAGACTGGAGCGCCTATGAGAAGATCGTTGCGGATCTGAGAAACCAGGTGAGCAAATAAAAGGTTTTGTTAAGTACTCATGCATGCTTTTTTATCATAAAGCACACAACCAAATGTTTGGACACACCTGCTAATTCTTTACTATGACTATTTTCCTCATTTTAGAATACTAGATAAATAACACAAATGAAAGTTTGGGAATTATGTAGTTGCTAAATATGTTCTATTTGAGCTTCTGCAAAGTTTTCACCCTTTAAATTCCAGATCTGTAGCTTCTTTAAATGCATGAGATTCAAGTTTACATCTATGTTGGACCTTGTTGATGATTTTTCTTCACTATCCGCTCCAACTCATCCATTATAAATACATTTTTTTATTGAAATGTAATTTTAGTTTTAATTTTGAATGGTTGTGTATGTGGTTTAGGCTTGTAAAGACACGTTCAAGCTCAACTTGCTGATAATATGTTGCAACCAACTTTAAAATTGTAATTTTAATCACTGATTCAATAAAAAAAAATTTAATTACTATTTTTCATAACCAAGATGAGCATGAGTGATCTCGACAAAAGCAGTAAAAGAAAAACACTAATGTTACAAACCAGGAATAAAACAATTGAAATGCAATTAAGAAACAATGTTTGTCAAATGGAAGAAATATTATTAATAAAAAATTTTAATTAAATTGAAAAGAAAAGTGGGTGCATTAGAAATGCCAAGGGTAACAAAAACTTTTTAGTTTTTAGCAGGAACCAAACTTTGGATATGTGTCAAGACTATCAAAATGCAAATCATTTACATTTTTTTCCTTTTGTTGTTGTTGTTGTTTTGTTTATAGATTTTTAAAAATAGTCTTTTAAGAGATATAACAATTTGAAAGAAAAGGTACTGAAATACTATGCAGTATTTATTTTGCATTTATTAAATTCTTTTATATGACATAATCTATTTTCCTCTGTTATCAGTTATCAGTAAAAAATAATGACAATTGTAAAAAATAACAAAAATCAGCTGTTTGCTTAAATGCTGTAATGAGAACCCTAAATGCAAGACAATGATAGGAGTGTGTTTGTGAATCAACCCCTCAGCTCCAGGAAATGACTTTGGACAACGCCAGACTTTTCTTACAGATAGACAATGCCAGGCTGGCTGCTGATGATTTCAAAGTCAAGTGAGTTATTTGGTCATTTATTCCTTGATGAAATGTTAAAAACTCTCAAATTAAGAAAATGCATCTTAAACAAATATACTATAATAAGATAAATATACTATAATACAAATATAATAAAACTAAGTTTGCTGTAAATACGACACACGCCCTGTGGTCCCTGATGTAAATAAGCTCTCGCTGAATCGCTCCGGGCAGGTTTGAGTCAGAGCAGGCCATGAGGCAAGGGGTGGAGCAGGATCTGGCACGACTCCGCAAGATGCTGGACGACACTTACATGGGCCGCATGCAGCTGGAGAGCCAGATCGAGTCTATGAGAGAAGAGCTGGCTTTCCTGAAGAAGAGCCATGAGGAGGTACACGCCTTAAACACACTGATTAAAACAGCAACACCTCAAACCTACAGAGATGTACTCATGTAGGTGGTTCATTTGATCTGTGTTTCTATTGTTGGACTACAAACAGCCTTCTAGTCACAAGCAGCATGCACAACGAAAGCAAACATCAGTCCCGGAAGTAAAATCGAATTAATTCTACTGTATAGTGCCGTAGAAATCATAAATTAATGTGATATCAACTTTAAGCAGATGATGCGATTACGTCAACAATTTTTATTTAATTTATTATTTTTTTATATTAATATGATCACATATTAATATTACTTGAATTAAATGAATAATAAAATGATTTTATGTCTTACATGAAAATACTGGGAAATTATTAAAATAATATTTTAATACATTTAATTGAATGAATGTTGATTTAATATGAATATTAATTTAATTCATATTAAACTATTTTCATTTTAAAATACTCAGACATTATGAAAATATTTATTTTAGTAATTAATATTAATTTAACATTAATTAAGCTAAACATGAATATGATCATTAATATATATATATATATATAATATATTTAAATGTTATTATTAAAAAAATTTCAATGTTTAATTTATTTTAATATTAAAATACTTGGTTATAATAATAATTCAAATGTTAGTTTAATTTAATTAATATTTTAATGTTAAAATACTTGAAAAGATTTTGACTAAATATATTCATTAATTATCTTAAAATTTAAATAATTGTAATATTAATATTTAATTAACTTAAAGTGCATATATGTTATTTATATATAATCAATGGTTTCAATGGACAGATTCATCTGGTTTGTTCTAATAACTCTTTATTGAAGCTCTAATTTATTTATTTATTTGGTGAAATTAATTGTATTTTATTTTAAATATGGGAGGGAGGGAGGGGATATGGGCAAAATACTCCAAACTAAGACCTGCTAAAAAAGTGGGTGGTCACCATAAAATCATTATTTGAGCAACTGTTAACAGATCTTCCCACCCGACCTACCTGGTTTTCAATGCTTTAGGGCAAGTGTTAAACAAACTCAGCGCTGTTGCCAGATCCCGCCTTTAAAATCCATATAACTAAATTCATTTATCATTTTATTTCACAGGATGTCGCCAATGTGAAGAGCCAGATCAGTGACTCTCAAGTCAATGTGCAAATGGAGACTAAAAACAACGCAGACCTCAATGAGGCCATGAATAACATCCGCACACAGTACGAGCGAGCCGCGCAGAAGAGCCACGAGGAAACCGAAGCCTGGTATCAAAACAAAGTCAGTCATATTTTGCATTCATTTGTTGTCTCCTTCTGTTTTTCCAAAATTGTTGGCACTTTTATATATATATATATATAGTGCTTCTAAAATACATTAGAAACAGCTCTTATAATAATTGCACCCTCCTAAGGAATTAGGTTAAGCACCATCTTTCATTTTTCTTTCTTTTTTAACTTTTGTGAGTTGTGACCCTATTTTGTACCCTATGGGAAAGTGGAAAGCGCCTTTTAATTTAAAAGAGCTTTGTGCATAATTATAAAGCAGCACTATATTGTCATGTGACCTGAACACCTTGTTGTCTTTGTTCCTCTCTATCCAGTTTGACAACATGACAGCTGAGGTGACTCAGAACACAGAAGCTCTGCAGGCAGGAAAGACAGAGCTGAACGAGCTGCGCAGACAGAAACAATCTCTAGAAATTGACCTGCAGGCTCTGCACAATATGGTACGGTACACAAATGATCCACTTGACAAATCACTCAGCGTTCCACAGTCAGCACTCTCACCTGGCAGACATGTCCATCAATTAAATGATAATGAAATGAGATTGCACGAAATGTTCGATACCTGTCTCTGTGCATGCATGTCATCGGAATTTACACATTATTCCTGTGCACCCATGTGTTTTTTTTAAACCATGGGAAAACAGAAGCTGTATTTATATGGTGGTTTGTCTAGATTTTTTTCTTTTTCGTCAAGATCATTTCTAAAGCACATTTCTGCAAAGAAATAATTGCTTAAAGTCAAGAGGTTTGACACACCTACTCTTTCTTTATTACTATTTCCCACATTTTAGAATAATGGTCATTTATAAATAGCACAAATGAAAACAAAATTACAAAATAAAAATAAAAACATAAATTCATTGAAATGTTTCCAGACTTTCCTTTATTCTACTTGGTGTCTAGCAGATTCAATCGCTCGAACATTTCATGCCTGTCCTACACATTATTCCTGTGCACCCAAGTGTTTTTTTTAACCATGGGAAAACAAAAGCGGTTTTTATATAATGGTTTGTTGAGATTGTTTTGTCATGATCATTTTTTTGTACTTAACTGAAGCACATTTCTGCACAGAAATAATCGCCAAAAAAAGCCTGAAACTTTGACATACCTACTTATTTTTCTAGTCTTCTATGAAAGTCTTCTATATATATATATATATATATATATATATATATTAAAATAAAAATCTGTAAGGATGAGTCTGGCATAGAGCTGGAATATTATATTCTTACTTTTTTGTATTAAATTTATTATACTGTATTATTTGTATTTTTCATATTTTTTTATTTCATTATTTTTGTTTCGCTAGCACAAATTGTCTTTAATATATTGTGAATCTTTTTCAATATATTCAAGACAAACTTGTTGTTAAACAAAAATAATGAAATTAAACAATATAATAAAAAAGAATACAATTAATTCAATATAATAAATGTTTTAAACATTTAAAAATAAAAAATTATGTTTGTCAATTTAAAGCATTTACACAAAGGCCTTTATTTCAAAAAGGTATAAAAAAAAATAATAAAATAAAAAAGTAAGATCATGAGAAACATAAATTATTATTTTTTTGTTCTGCTTGGTGTTCTGCAGATTCGGTCACTCGAAGATTCGCTGCATGAAACAGAGGCACGTTACGCACACGAAGTCAATGGGTACAACTCTCGAATCCTGCAGCTGGAGGGAGAGCTGGGACAGGTGCGCGCGCAGGTGGAGCGTCAGGCGGCTGAGTACGATGCCCTGCTCAACATCAAGTCCAAACTGGAGGCAGAGATTGCCACCTATCACCGCCTCCTGGAGGGTGTTGTTGACGACAAGGGGGACAAAAATAGGTAAGATGAAGGAGACATGAGTTCGTGAACAGTGATCAAAAAATGGATATTCCAGCTCAATGTTAGAATCATCATTGACACTTAAATGCCTCAAGTCCTTAATGAGCTGAATCAGTTTTTTTTTCTTTTAGACTGAAGCCAAATCCCATAAAAGCCCTTTTAAAGATTCAAATTAGGACTGGGTAATATATCAAAGATTCACAATGTATTCAACACAATTTTGCTAGTCATATAAAATTATTGGAAAAAAATGATTTTTTTTTTTTTTATTTGAAATACATGCGTTTTCAATGTTGACTTAAACAATGTAGCAAAAATACCATCTAAGTTGGTTAGTTCGATTCATTTCATGTATCAGATCATGCTGTATATTTTAAAGGAATAGTTCACCCAAAAATGAAAATATCCTGAGAATGTCCTCACCCTCAGGCCATCCAAGATGTAGATGAGTTTGTTTCTTCAAAAGAACAGATTTGGAGAAATGTAGCATTGCATCACTTGCTCACCAATGGATCCTCTGCAGTGAATGGGTGCCGTCAGAATGAGAGTCCAAACAGCTGATAAAAACATCACAATAATCCACACTGCTCCAGTCCATCAGTTAACGTCTTGCGAAGGGAAAAACTGCATGTTTGTTAGAAACAAATCCAAGGCATTTTAACTTTAAACTGGTGCTTCTGGCCAAAATACAAGTCCATAATCCATAACACTTCCTGCAGTGAAAAACATTTGTTTAGAACTGTTTTGGACTGTTTTCACTGCAGAGGATCCATTGGTGAGCAAGTGATGTCATGCTACATTTCTCCAAATCTGTTCTGATGAAGAAAAAAACTCATCTGCATCGTGGATGGCCTGAGGATGAGTAAAGTTTTAGCACATTTTCATTTTTGGATATGAAATAAAAATAAATAATTTAATAAAATTCTTCAAAACACTGATTTGATGATTTGTTTCTAAAATTGGAAATCTTAACTTTCTCTGAAAATGTTTTAGTATATGCAGTTAAATACTGCTGTTTGTTCAAATGTTTTGGTCCAGTTCAGAACAAATACAAAAAGCATGTTTGTTGCACTATCATGTTGTTCCAAACCTGTATGCATTTATTTCTTCTCCGGAAAAAAAACAATATTTTGAAGAATGTTGGCAACCAAACATTTTCAGTTCCCATTGACTCACATTATATTTTTGTTCACATAATATCTTCATTTATGTTCCACAGAACAAAGAAAGTCATACAGGTTTAGAATTGTCATTTTTGGTGGACTATCCCTTTCATCTTGAAATCTCCTTGGTCACTGATTGCAACGTGCACATCACACAACATTGCTGTTTCCATACAGCATTTTCCTTTGTGAGCTGCGCATGCAAATCTAGCGTGCACAAAGCTTATCTTTCCATGGTGAAGTCACTCTGTAGTAACAAACACACGGCACAAACTCTTTCCCTACAGGCTTGTGAGAAACATGTCCCAGCAAGCATCTGTCCTTTAAAATAGACACCACTTAAAAACTTCCCCCCCTTATATATGCAGAAATGCGATCACTCAGTGTGGTGTTTTCAGTGAACCCTTCTTAATGTCGATCCACCCCAGTCTTGAATATTTAGTTTCATCTTTTCCCATCAAATACCTCCCTTTGTGCCATTCTCTCATGTTTTCTCTTCCCTCCACAGAGAGGAATTTTCTTTAGAGCAGTCATTGTATGCAGGTGAGTGCCGTGACGTGTAGATTTTAGGCATCGTTAGTATGAGTTAACAAACATGCTTGCCTAACCTGCATCAAGCTTGTCTTCATACTAATCATCACTCACTGCTCTATGGTCTAACAAAGACGAGTAAACAGTGCTGCCCGAGCCCTCGCTGGCCAAATACACTCACATCACTCACGCTGTTTATGTTTCTCACTGCTAACCTCATGCAAATATGTTTGAAGACAATCATCTTTACAACCTGTTGAAGAAACAAAAAGGTCATTCTACAAAACAGCTGCTATTTGTGTGCCCTTTTTAGCCACCTTTGGCTCTATTAGCATGTATATATAATAAAATTAATAAGTGAAAAAGTGGATATTTGTAGAAATATCACCATTAAATTTTCAAAGAAGGACCTTCATGACCTTGTATTGTCAAATTAAACTGTAAAACTTCACCGTTACTGTTCTAAAGACAATTATATCTTGTCATATTCTAAATATATCTATGAATATAATTTGTTAATTTTGCTTGAGATGGAGCGATGCAACGTATTGAAACGCATCATTTTAAAAATATTTTACAAAAACTCAAAATTACCTTCTCAAAATGCAACAGGCATCTGATTCATAGAATGACCCAAGTAATGTTTACTAGCCTATTAAATGTTGCTTTCTCAACTAATATACGCAGCTGTGTTGAACTTTGATTATTTGTTTGCTTGTAAGAGCTTCTAATGTTTAAAAAAAAATAAAGTCTAACTTGTTATGCTGCATAAGTGCAGACATCCCACCCTGCCAAAACCCATTTCCAGGAAATAGCCCCGGAGAACAAACACCCGTTTGTTCATTCATTAGTATTCGTGAAACGAAAGTGAAAGTGATCCAGTGTAGTCTCACGAAATAACTGGATATCTGAACGCAAGTCCGGCGACGCATTGATAATATCAGGAAAACGCATTATAATAAGAGGTAAAAACTATAAAAATATGTAGGTAATACTAGGTTAAAATGTGTCTTGGCTGAACAGTTGTTATCGGATGGAAATAGGGATTATCTCACACTCTATATTGTTTAGAATTTGTGGGCAGCTGGGAGCTGCTATCATTATGCTGGAGACTCCCAGACATTCCTGGAGAGGTGGGACGTCTGTAAATGTCTTAATGAATTACTAAAGACTGACTCTAACCTCCAGCTTTCTGTCTCCAGCACCTCCGCCTTCCGTCGGACTTAAGAAAGCCATCATCATCACGCAAGAAATAGTGGACGGAGAAGTGGTCTCTCAGAGCGAACTTGAGCAAAATCCTACTAATCACAACAACCACGTTTTTGGAGAGGAAGAAGAGTTGGCAGAACAACTGGGGTTAGCGATGGAAAAGGCGAAAGAAGAGCAAGAGGAGTTTGGAGAACAACTGGCGTTGGCGATGGAAAAGGCGAAAGATGAGCAAGAGGAGTTTGGAGAACAACTGGAATTGGCGATGGAAAAGCCGAAAGATGAGCAAGAGGAGTTGGCAGAACAAATGGGGTTAGCAATAAAAAAGGTGAAAGAAGAGCAAGAGGAGTTGGCAGAACAACTGGGGTTGGCGATGGAAAAGGCGAAAGAAGAGCAAGAGGAGTTGGCAGAACAAATGGGGTTAGCGATGGAAAAGGCGAAAGAAGAGCAAGAGGAGTTGGCAGAACAAATGGGGTTAGCGATGGAAAAGGCGAAAGAAGAGCAAGAGGAGTTGGCAGAACAAATGGGGTTAGCGATGGAAAAGGCGAAAGAAGAGCAAGAGGAGTTGGCAGAACAAATGGGGTTAGCGATGGAAAAGGCGAAAGATGAGCAAGAGGAGTTGGCAGAACAAATGGGGTCAGCGATGGAGTTAGCGATGGAAAAGGAGAAAGATGAACTACAGGAGTGGGGAGAACAACTGGAGTTAGAGATGGAAAAGGCAAAAGAAGAGCAAGAGGAGTTGACAGAACAAATGGGGTTAGCGATGGAAAAGGTGAAAGAAGAGCAAGAGAAGTTGGCAGAACAACTGGAGTTGGCGATGGAAAAGGCGAAAGATGAGCAAGAGGAGTTGGCAGAACAAATGGGGTCAGCGATGGAGTTAGCGATGGAAAAGGAGAAAGATGAGCTACAGGAGTGGGGAGAACAACTGGAGTTAGAGATGGAAAAGGCAAAAGAAGAGCAAGAGGAGTTGGCAGAACAAATGGGGTCAGCGATGGAGTTAGCGATGGAAAAGGAGAAAGATGAGCTACAGGAGTGGGGAGAACAACTGGAGTTAGAGATGGAAAAGGCAAAAGAAGAGCAAGAGGAGTTGGCAGAACAACTGGGGTTAGAGATGGAGTTAGCGATGGAAAAGGAGAAAGATGAGCTAGAGGATTGGGGAGAACAGCTGGAGTTAGAGATGGAAAAGGTGAAAGATGAGCAAGAGGAGTTGGCAGAACAACTGGGGTTAGAGATGGAAAAGTTGAAAGATGAGCAAGAGGAGTTGGCAGAACAACTGGGGTT